TAGGTATCATGAAAAACTTTTCATGAAAATAATCGTGAAAGTTTCGTGACCCTTAGATTATACTTAGAATAAAGCACCACACACTAATCAAGATAATTCAAGGATTATAAATTTTTCATGATTATTTTCATGACAAAATTTTCATGATCCCTAACTTTTTCTATACGGAACATATCATATCAGTGGGGTGTTAAAAATAATTACAAATAAATATTTTTTTAATAAATATTCATAATTAAATTTATAAACTTTTGCATGAATTTATAATTTTTTTTCCTAACATCACCGAAATATAATAACCTTTATATATATATATATATATATATATCCTATCATTAAATCCAACCTTTTTGGCTTACCAAATAATTAAGGATAAATTATAAGTACACTCTCTGAGATTTGCTTAAAATATGAATTGTCTTTTATGGTTTAGAAAATTACAAATACTCCTTTTGTCAGAATTTTTTTATTTAACAGAATTAACTAAAAAGATAAAATTTATAACTGTTCTCCTATACAATAATAAAATTATTTGAATTATTAATTGAAATAAAATTTTAACATCATTAAAAACTGTTAATTAACTTGATGATTTATTAATAAAAGGACCCATTCGTTATGAAATTGGAAACTTTAGAGGGCATATTGTAATTTTTGAAACTATAGGAATAATTCGTAATTAAGTAAATCTCAAGGGGTGTGTTTGTAATTTATCCAATAATTAAGTACTGATATATTAATCCGATAGTGTTACTATACTGCATAAATAAATCTGTATACTTCATGTTCAAGTCTTTTGTCTTAATGGATTTGGTTTCTCTGTAATTCTTATTCTGATTGGGGAGGTCGAGTTGGCCTACTGTGAGCTCATTTCAGGTTTATATTAGTAATTTAAATTGTTCATTTTATAAATTTTTAGCGCATATTATCTATGTAAAAAATAAAATTGATTGGACATTTGTAATTATATGATTGAATCATATTTATCTTATAAATTATGAGTATCAACTTTAATTTTGAGAATAGAACATCTATTTTTTTAGACAAGTGTTTGATCATGTGATCATCAATATTTGATCAATTTCATTTTTTACATGAATAAATTGGGCCTCTCCAGTCTAACTAAGCACCATAGAAAAGCCAAATTCTTTCTTAATTATAGGAGCTTATGCGTGCTAACTCTCTAATAAATCCAATTACAGGACCATGTCATTTTAATTGGAACCATAATATGGTAAGAATCTTTTTAAGTTGCTTTCTTTTGATTTGATTTTTTTTTTTTTTTGCAATGTTTATATTAATTTTCCATTCATTCCCTCCAACATCTTCAAGGTTTTACTTCACTGGGGTGTTTGGTCGAGTTTTTTTAAGCCAACTTATGGCTTCTGGCTTATAAAAAGTTATTTTGGACTGTTTGGTTAAACTTATTTCAAATAGTTTCTGATTCTAACAACTTATTTTAAGTCAAAAAAGCTGATTTTGAGAAGCTGCTCACCCCTTGCTTCTGATTATCAACTTCTGCTGTGTACATGTTAATTCACGGTTATACTCTTTAATTTTTTTATTTTTTATTTTTTTAAAAATAGAAAAAGACACAAATGGACTATAAAATATTATTATTATTTTTTATGAGAAATGTAGATAAATAATGAATAACAAAAAATAAAAGTTAATTGAAAAAGTTACTTCACAACTTATTTAACAAACACTACTCAGCAACTTAAATCTATAATCCAACAGCTATACCAAATAGATTAACAGCTTCTGATTAAAGTCATAATCTATAATCTGTTAAGCTATAATCTATAATCTATTTTAACAACTACACCAAACAGGACCACATGTCCAACTTTTTATGGGCAAGCATTCTAACCTCATACAATCACCACCAAATTGCTTGATTGGTAATATCTTATCAAGAAAATTTATAAGCAATGATTTATCTGGTTAGCGGATTAAGATCATCTATAATAAATCTTTTTGTAATGATTTTATTGTAATGATCTAACAATTTAAAGTTAAAATTAAAGTTAAAATAAAATTAGGTCATTTTAGGATGTGTAGTTTTTTATTTTTTATTTTTTTTTATTTAAAAGGTGTTATTTTAATGTTTAGTTGATTATATGTCTTGTTGTAATTGTCATGATATAACACACAAAAAAGAAAAAGAAAAAGAAAAAGAAAAAGAAAAAAAGGAGAGCTATTTTGCTTCCACATAATTAAATTCAATTGCTTACATAATGTTCACTCTCAGCGACAGAACCAATATTTTTATCTCCAGGGCGAGTCATGAATAATAATTCTTATACATATTTCAATGGAGAAATTACCAGTAAATCTCAAATTAAGAAATGATGGTCCATTTAATCTTGTATTTTTTTTTTAATTTTAATAAGCCATTTGATCCTATTTAATTGATAAGAAATATTTTTCTTTGATTTGGCATGGGTGGAATTTACACATTTACCTTTATTATGATTTTGATGTATTCTTTTTTGCTCATATGTGTGTAATGATTGAGATGGTAACGTTTTACATTTTCATTTTTGTCACTATAAGAAATTTCACTTTTGACGACTAAAATTTTGATCGCCAAAAGCCTTGTTTTTAGTTGCCAATTACTTTTGGCGACTAATATATTTGGTCGCCCGTTTTGTCGCCAATAGTTTGTTAAGAAAAACAATCGGTGACTAAAATTTTTTTGGTAGCCAAAAGTGACCTATTAACGACTAAAACTTTAGTCACCATATATTTTTTTAAAATAATTAAATATATATATTTTTTACTTTTAGTAACTAAATTATTTAGTAGTCAATTTGAGCATGTATTTTTGACGACTAACTATTTGGTAGTCAAAAGTTTCACTTTTTGAGAATTGGTGACTAAAAATTTAATAGCCAAAAGTTTCCTTTTTACAATTAGCGACTAAAAGTTCAGTAGCCAAAAGTTTCCTTTTTACAATTGACGATTAAAAGTTTTGTAGTCAAAAGTTTCACTTTTTGATAATTGGCAACTAAAATTTTAATAGCTAAAAGCCAACCTATGATATTTGTTTAGTCGCAAAAGGTCTCATTTAATTTTTATAATTTGTTCTGTAATATTTTTTGTGTCACCTGCAACTTGTGCATATACAAAATTATTCATCAATTCATTCTATTCTCAACCATTCAATAACATTATTTCTCCACAACTTGCAGCATTCAATTTTCAACTATATACAAAACTTAACTATTAATCGTACATATAAAAGAATATAAGAACCCATAAACATAGTATAATCCAACAAATACATATACTATCCAAACCAATAATTAAAATCCAAATTAAAAAAAACCTTAATAACAAAACATATCAGGTGTACATGTTAAAAATAAACAAAAATATAATGTTGATTGCGCCCATGCAAGCATCATCAATCTGACCCAAAAACATCATTGTATCCATGCTAACATTATCAATCTGTAACAAAAACATAATATCTATTAATATTTTATTGAATAACATTGCATTTACAATTATAAAAACCCATCATCATGCTCCAAACTTAGTAATCTGCTCTAAACATATGTAGTAGTAAGAAACATAAAACCTTAGCTAAAAAATAAGTTATGTAAGAAAGATCTATTAAGAATTATTTGAAAGAAAATAATTTAAAAAAAAAAAGGAAAAAGAGGGGAAAATGTATCAAAATAAAAACAAAGGTTAAAAATATGAGAATACTGAATACACTGAAAATTACTTGAAAGACTCATACAAATTGACCATTAAATTTAAAATAACTGCTACATGATAAAGAAAATTGCATGTTATATGTTGCAACCTCAAATCATTGGAAGTAACTTCAATTGCGGCAATTACTACTGTTGCAGCAGCAGCAACAGCAGCAGCAACAACTCATCTAAGTTTACTAAGCAACCATGCAACAGTTCAATTTATCATTAAACTATTAAGGGGTGATAATTCAATGCAAGAAATAGAAAGCAACCAATAAAAAATTAGAAGGGAGACTATAAATAAGTGCCTCCAAACTTGGCACTATTGGATCAAATGTACAGACAAGGCAAGAAAGACCTCAAACTTGAGAGTTCACATAAAGTCTTAGCTGCTAGCATTGGATCAACTGTACCAAAACGAACTTACTACAGCCAGGAATAGGACATTCTACTTCATTATATTTTAAGTTACCGAACTTTGAAAAGAAAATGATAAGTGACCTAGTATTCAGGATTCCAAGAGATAATGGGTCGCTAATGATTTTAACCAAAATTAAATTTTTTTTTTTATATAAAATTACGATAAATCTAAACAGTGGCCATGTTTAGAATGCATGTTATAGTTCTAGAGCAACATAAACTTTCAAATTCAATTCTTGCAGTTACAAAAGTATTACACTAAATAAAATTTGAAAAGGGAGAACGATTCATTTAGTGCAATCCAGACAAACATAATTAGGCAAAGAAATCCATTGCCTAAATCAAGCAACTCACAGTCAGGATCTAATTCTGATTCATCAAAATCAGTAAACTCATTCGTTATAGTTGGGTAGCATAGTTGGTTTGAGAGGTTTAAAATCTTCCACAGGTCGACCAACAAATCTCTGCTCAGCGCTAAAATTGAAATCGTATGCAAACACAGTGTTGTGGTTCTCAGGGTCCCAAACCACTTGTTCTAATTTTTTTCATTTCACAAACTTACCAAGCTTATAACAAATCTAATCAAGATTTATTGCTACATTAATATTTCTAATAAGCTAATGCATGTTAAGAGGACATAAATATTTTAGTGATGAACTCAGCAAATTCAGTATAACTACACTGAGAGACACACCAAAGAGACATGAATTGTCAAAAATGGACACAATCGTGGTTTCTTCTTGTCAAGTTCCTCATAGAGAGAACTTGTAGAAAAGTGCATATGGCTAGGCCGCCTACACTACCAACCCTGAAGAGAATATAGTTCATAAAAGTGAGAACAAGAATCATCACCGCGGAAGAAATAAGTTGAAATCCCAACACTTCAATCTCTAGCTTGAGCTTTTTATTCCAAGTACAAAACTATTTTCATACGAGGAATTGTATCACAAGTAAAACAGACACACAACAGAAGCCTTGAATAAATGTGCCATGGCACTACAAACATAAGACATCAAGGAGTTTCTAGTAATCAGACAGTTTTGATTTAATTAATTAAAAACTATATAAGATGCATTCCAGCAAGTATACTGCTCAACACACTTTTCCTATTTGATCGAATTATGCTAGCAATCCCCTTAATCTCACATTATGCTTCAATGGGCTATTACTAAATTCTAGACGCCTATTGCTAGATACCTTTGTAATTTTAAAATCAGTAGGACATGGACACTCACAATTCTGCTCATCAATCTTTAACACTTACAACCTACTTGTAAAAGTAATATTCCTACCACGAGAAGTAAGAGCTGTATCCTGAAGTGATTGCCCTTTAGAATGAATACTTAGTTGCTACAACATGAACGACAGCCATACAGAACAAATGTGTGCTTCCTCAAGTAATTCCAGTACCTGCACAAGTAAAAAAGTTGAGATGAAATAGAGTAGTTTTTATTTGAGATTTAATACCCATATTCCAGTAAAAACATTTTTGAACCTCTACATTACAAACCTTGAGAAACTAAGATCACTTGCAAAGGGGTGAGGAAAAATAGCAACAGGTGGTGATGTAATGAGCCTGTTATGAGCCCCTGTTATAGCCTTGGGAAGGGAGAGCTTTGCCTAGATTGAACCACTGATATATTTAATTAAACATGAATGGTTGGAAGATTTTAATTAAGCTGATTTTTGTTGAAATACATAGGAAAGATTTATAGGTATTCAGAGCATATTTGGTTCATTATATGGCATAACAAATAAAGCATATTAAAAAAAAAAAAAGAAGTTGTGCTTGTCTATTGGCATGCTAGTATATCTACCCAGTGTCATTCAAGAAGGGAAAAAAAAAACAGAGCTTGAGCATTAACAACTAAAATTTCCTCTCATCAATTGTATAACTCTGAAGCAATAGAAGGGGAAAAAACAGAGCATGAGCATATATAATCTATATCAATCTACACTCCTTCGAGGAAGAAGTGTAAGCATATATAATCTACATCAATATACTCCTAAAATTTTCCATTAACTTACCTACTAATAATATTCTTAAATTGTTCAGTACCTTAAATCAATTGCTATCTACTTAACAATACTATATATATATATATCTACACATATAACTCTACTCAGCAATTTAAGCAATTCTTCATGATTGCTTAAATAGAGCAACAAAAGTTTGGAATTAAACACAACTTGGAGCTCACATGTGCTTCGACTGTAGAAAAAGAGTAAAACCCTAAAATGATTTTATTAAAATCCTATAGCATCAAAAATAAAATAAAACCCTAGATCCGTGATGGTGAAATGGGGAAATAGAGGAAGGGAGAGAGAGAGAGAGAAACTTGAATGTGGCTGGGAAGGGGGCCGCGATGGTGAGCAACGGTGGCGAGAGCCGCGATGGTAAGCGACGGTAGCGAGAGCCGCGATGGTCGGTGGTGGAAGTTCGATGGTGACTGTTAGCAGAGATGGTGAGTCGGGGTGGTGAGTGGGGGTGAGGTTTGGTAGTGTTTGGGACAGACGTGTATATCGTGTGTGTGTGTGAGAGAGAGACAGAATAGAGTGTAAATATATCTGGTGCCAAAAATAATTTGTTTCCCTCTAAAACAAATACTACAACCGTTAGCGACAAAATAAATTTTTGGTCGCCAAATAACAATAAATAACAACTAAATATTTTGCATCTAAAGATTGAGTAATAGTGACTAATTATTTGTAGTAGCTGAAAGTATTAGATAAATCCCTCCAAAATATTTGAAATGTCTCCCTCCAAAAATTTTAGTTCTTTGGCGACTAAAATTCTTTTTTGTCGTTGAAAATAAACTTTTGGTTTGGTCGCCAAAGTTAAAAAATTAATTTTTTATTTTTCATTCGGCGATTAAATGGTTTAGTAGCCAAAACTCAATAAACGGCGACTAAAAATCTTTTTTGTCGCTAAAAATAAACTTTTGGCGACCAAAAAGGTAAAAAAATAAATTTTTTATTTTCCATTCGGCGACAAAATGATTTTAGTAGCCAAAACTCAATATACGGCGGCTAAAAAAAAATTTTGTCGCCAATTCTAGCATCTTTAGCGACTAAATTTTTTTTTAGTCGCCAAAAATCAATATACCCTGACTAAAATAAATTAGTAACTAAATATTTTACTTTTGCCGACTAAAAAAATTAGTTGGTCGCCAATTCCACAACTTTTGGCGACTAAATTTTTTTTAGTCGCCAATTTTGGTTGCCGAATGTGCATTTTGTTGTAGTGTGCGTGTTTGATTTTTGTAAAGTGATATATAGGGGATGGGTTTCACTTGTTGATGTTGTTTTTTTGTAATGTGAGAATCAATTTTGTTGCCTAATGTAACCTGGAACAAAGTTTAAACAACGTTCATTACAACCAATGTTAACAACATTACAACCAAAACACATCTGCCATTCCCATTAACATACATATTACCAAAAAAAAAAAAAAAAAAAAAAAAAAACACAGAGCATTGTAAAAACATACAACTGAAACCAACAAATCCTAGCTTCATGTTAACGTTGTCCCAAACATGACATTATAGCAACCACAACCACAATCGACACCACTGTCAGCCCACAAACATCCACCATTACAGTTTCTAAACATTGAAAAAACATACACCAAAAAACTTACAATTCACATTCCAACTTATGACCCACAAATATCGGCCATTTTACACCTCACTAACACATACATAACAGTCCACAAACACAGTCTAGCCACAAACACCAACAAAACTATCATATAAAACGAGCACACATTACACATCAAACATCACCAATGAGCACAAACCCAAATTACATTTCAATGTCTACACAAGGACGTAAATACATACCTTCATTTCTCATTGTCTTTCGTCCTCAACACCAACTTCACGAATCGACTGACCTTTTCACGGCTGAATTCGATGTTAATAGACTCAACCCTAGCCATCGCAGATCTTTGTTCGCCCCAATTTGTGCGTCGTTGTGAGCCGATGTTACATTTGACAAAGGTTCCTAGGGTTTGGTCAATGTAGGGTTCATGGTTCACAAATGTGTGGAATGTGGAGTTTCTAAATCGAAGCAAAAAAATGTGTGATTCCATTTACATTGCACCAAAAATCATGTCGGTGTTGATCAATGTTACACAAATCTACAGAATCTTTCTAAATATGCAATCTGAATTCAAATCACAACATATAAAAGAAGTCCCAAATGTGTAATTTCCCTATACGCCCATACTTATTACTGTCTTTTTATGTCAATCACACTATAATAAGATTTATTGGTCTACAAAAACAAAAAAAACATAGGACTAAGGCCTAGTTTGGGAAGATTTTTTTTTAGTAATTTTTTGGCTTTCACTAAAATATGATGTAAAAAAATTCGTATGTTTGGGATGACTTTATAAATTTTTACGAAAAGATGTGCAAAAAGTAGAGAGAAAAGAGAATCTTTGACTTTTTGGTTTAGCTTGTTGACTTTTTGATTTTTTTAGTGACCTTTTGATTTTTAGGCTAAAAAGTGATATTATCAAACGAGACCTAAATAGTTCACAAGTTCTCATCTTAGGATTTATTGGTGCATCACCGTATTTCAATTCAGTAATGAGTAACAAATTAATATATATATATATATATATAAATAAAATAAAATAAAATAAAACCCAAGATCTTTGTAGTGCTATTGTTGTTTTGGAAAGTGGCTATTTTAGTTAATTTTTTGACTTTGCGAAAAGACTTACAAAAAAGTAGAGAAAAGAATTGATTTTTTGGTAGTGACTTTTTAATTTTTTAACTATTTTAAGTTGTAGCCAAAACAACCCTTAATGTATAATAAATAAAAATTCATATGTACTCAATCTTAATGAGAGTCATAAATTAATTGTTTTCATACATTTATCAAAGTAGAATTCAACGTCATTTTAAATTCCAAAATTCCAAGAAAAACTTTATCAATTGAGTCCATAGTAAAATGTGTTACCCAAATTTATTTTAATGTGGTTCTCACAACATTTAGATTGAGTCTAAATCACATTTTAATTATTTTTTGGGGGGTCAATTTATAAAAGATTAATTATAAATATAAGAAGCATTACATAATTAGAAAGTCATCAAGTCCAACAACTACCACAATAAATGACGATAACTTAGAAAGAAATAAACAATTACATATAATCCCATGATGGGAGAGAACTAAACACCACAATAGGTATCACTCGTAGTCTCACACTACAAAAATAATGATATACAATCATTAAATTGAAAGCATTCCATACCACATTTTTAATTTTTTATACACCTTTTTTTTATGTGAAAGTAGCGTTATTGCATATCAATAATCAATTCAAATCAAAAGAGGCCAAGTTTATTAGATACTAAACATATGTTGCTATAGAAGTAATGCATAAAAGGTCTAACCACATAAGGGTAACCTCTGAAGTTAGACCTTAACCTCTGAAGTTAGACCTTATAAGGAGAGGATGCCCCATGACTTTTCTTGAAGACAGAGGGCATGGCCCCTGATACTCCATCTTCGGTTCCATCTTTGTTCACAGGTAAGACTTGTTTTTTTGTGTTGAGAGGTGGTGCATATCCCCTTTCAATGCAAAAGGGAATGTATATGTGCTCTTTTTTTTTTTTTTCGATAAAATAAAATTTTATGAACTCAAAAAAAAATAATACATCAAGTTAATAGGAATTAAAGAAAAAAAAAATCTTCATTCCTAATCGGAATATTTCAACTATAACACAAGAAAAATATTACGATAATACCAAAAAGAGTTGATCTAGATGCAACAAGTATCGAGGCGACATTCAAGATATTTTTTTTTAGATAGTAAAATGATGAACTGATAATAATTTTGCAATACTAGTTTAAGAGCTCAAAACACAACTGTGTAAAGATTAAATCACTTTTAAACTATCTAACAATTGTGTTTTGGACTCCTAAAGTAGCATTGCAAGGCACTAACTAGGCCTAGCCAAAGCCACCATGACTCTCCTAAAAGTCCTAAGGAGAAGGTTATGGGTTTAACTCTCCATAGAGTTTAATTAAAAAGCAAACACTTAGTGCTTTACAAGGGTGGGGAAGCTAACTCTTATAGGTGTTAATTTAACAATTAACAACTTACTTTTGCCGATAAAAAAATGTAAGGGGTCTAAAATGAACAGTAATAATAATATCACTAAGCGAGGCAAAATTATGCCAATAGGTCAATAATCTGGGAAGCTTGGAAAATGAGTAGTTAGGTGAAGGTGGAGCAAGTGATTCAGTACAAGAATGTGACAGTGCAACTGGGCATCATATTCTCCCAAATCCCAAGAAGTTCTCTTTTGAGCATTAGAAAATGGGTCATATTTGTAGGCTTTTCCTCAGTACCCGAATATACCAGGTGGCCAAATAGTGCAACGACACGAGTTGCAAGATGTTTTGTCCTAAATCACTAGGCTTTGGTAAACATGTGTTCCTTGACATATACTATCTATTTAGCACAAAATCTCAGCAAATGCCACTGCATTATCTGTTTGGCACAAGCCTTAGCATATACATTTTTTGGTACAAACCTCAACATGTGTCATTGTTGCTGCAGCACCTGCCTTCTTAGTTCAGTTTCCCAAGAAATGCATCCTCAAGGCTTATGATCTGCTATCAGCGATACTTATGTCTACCTCAATGACTTTTCTACCCTTAGCCACCTAACAACAAAACTCTCTATCTTCTCAAGGCGCCGGCCACAAGAAGGGATGTGCCTTATACCAGGCCCAAAGGAGCTTCCTTGGTCCTGCCTGTGCAACCAAGGTAGGTCCTTGACCTTGGTAAATGGAAAGGGAGTCCCTTGCTTTCGGATTGGCTGCTTCCACCTTTGCGGGGTCGCCGCGATATACTGGTACCTCTGGTGCTTGTTATTGGCTCCAACCAATAAGCATTGGAGTCTGCTATCAACGCCAAACTATATATGCTTCAAGTTTGTTATCAGCCCTAGCCTGCTAATGCCTCAAGTACTGCTATTAGGACCAAACATCTATTTATCACTTTGTATAGAGGAGGACTCTCTCAAAGGCTGCTATCACCTCGGGGAACTACGCCTTAGGAGATAGTTGTGGAGGTTGGAGTTGCCTCGGTGTTCTTTCCTTCAATAAGTGTCAAAGGCACGCTATCACAAAATGACGATGGCTAAGGTGGGATATGCCTTAGTAAGTTCTCTTGGATACTTTGCACTTGGCCCATATAGCTCTAGCAGGTCGGATTTGGTTCAGTTTTCTGGTTGACCCACTTTCCTTGGGCTTTGATCCATGTTCATTTAATGACTTATTTGCCTAATTGAGGTGACTTCAATAATTAAGTCAGTGTCTCAATTTCTTTCCCTTAAAAAAAATAAAAAAAGAAAAAGAAAAAGTATCGTTGCAATGTTATTATCTAAATATTTTCCTTGTGTAGTGAGTAAACAACTGTGTCCCTTTTTTCTTTCTTTGATTTTGATTTTGATTTTTATTTTTTGGGACCTTTAGTCTTTGATTTGGGCTTTTGAGTTATCTTAAGAATATTTTAGTTTTGTACCAAATATAAGGGGTAGAAATAT